GACAATAATAGACTTATACAAAAAACACATTGGGGGCTGGACAGGCCCCTCAGTGGTTAAAAGCACTGGCTGTCCTTAGAGGGGCCTGGATTTGATTCCCAGCACCAACCTAGAGGCTAATAACCTCTAATTCCACTTCTGGGGGAACCCAACACCTTCCTCTGCATTGCACAAAACAAATGCACTTATGCATAATGCAGGCAATGCATTCATACACATAAATAAAAATAAAATTTTCAAAAGGAAACGCATTGAAAAAATCTCAATGAAACAACACAATTTCTTGGCTGGGACACCAAGAGCACAGGCACAAAAAGTAAAAATAGGTAAATGGGACTTCAAACTTAAAAACCGTGCATCAGACGTAAGAGTGAAAAAAGAGTCACCTACAGAAAGGTAAAGAGTATCTAAGGGGATAACTTCCAGGATATACAAGGAATTCTTACACTCAACTATGCAGCCCAGGCTGGCCTGTCACACCATCCTCCTGCCGTAGTCTCTAGAGCACTGGCATTACAGGTGTATGCCACCATACCTGACTCTTCTATATGGTTTATGCCTAAATTCATGTCAACTTCTAAAAATATTTTTATTTATTGTTTTTATTTTATGTGTATGCATGCACTGCCTGAATGTGTGTAAGTGCACCCTGTCATGCAATGCCCATGGAGGACAGAAGAGGGCGTCGGATCCCCTGGAAGTTACGGACAGTTGTTACTTGCCATGTGGGTGGTGGAATTTGAACCCGGATCCTCTGCAAGAACAGCCAGTGTTCTTAACCACTGAGCCATCAGCTCTCCAGCACCAATTAATGTCAGTTTTTTAAAAATGTAAATCTTATGTTCTGAAATTCTGTTCCACAACAACGTGAACATTATTTAAACACCATTCACCCATGCCCTCAAGAATAATCAAGTTGGGGTCTGGAGAGACAGCTCAGTGGTTAAGAACACCAGCTGCTCTTGCAAAGGACCTAGCTTCAGTTCCCAGCACCCACATGGTAGCTAATAACCATCAATAACTCCTGTTCCAGGGGATCCGATGTCCTCTTCTAACCTCCATGAGCACTGCATGCACTAACAAACATGCAGGCAATACATTCATAGACATAAAATATTTTAGAAAATAGTCAAGTTGGTAAAATCTGTTTTTTAATATATTATTTTTATTTTATGTGTATGAGTGTATTGCCTGCATGTAGGTAGGTGCACCCGTGTTGTGCAGTGCCATGGAGGTCAGAAGAGGGTGTCAGATCCCCCTGGAACTGGAGTTAAGGACAGTTCGTAGCCTCCAAGTGGGTGCTGGGAAGTCTCCAGCCCCGTTTTTTTTTTTTTTTAAATTATAATAATAAAAAAAATTCATACTAGGGAGGCTGAGGCAAGAGGTTCATTTGAGTCCAAGAGTTCAAAGCTAGCCTGGATGACATAGTGAGATTCTAACTCAAAAATGCCAGAAACCCAAACCAAACCAAATATACACACAATAAAACCACCCTTCCCTTCAATACAAATAGAATTGTTTGATATTTAATTAATAAATAAATCAAAATGAAAAAATTATAAAGTTTATGAACTTACCAGAAATAAACTTGCTGGGTTGGAGAGATGGGACAGCTACTAACTGTCCTTAACTCCAGTTCCAGGGGAATTCAAAGCCCTCTTCTGACCTCTGTGGCACTGCCTGACACAGGTGCACTCACATACATGCAGGCAATACACTCATACACAGAAAGAAAAATAAAAAAAAAGAAAAGAAATAAACTTGCTTCCAAAGAGTCTTAAATTGGAAAAAAACTTCAGTTCAACTAGATGCCACTCACACGAGCACAGCGACTCTGAAAAGTCAAACAAAAGGACGTGGGTAGGCATGGTGGCCCATGCCTTTAATTCCAGCACTTGGGAGGCAGAGGCAGAGGCAGGCAGATCAAGAACAAGGCCAGCCTGGTCTACATAGTGAGGTCCAGGCCAAAAATAAAAAAGGTGACAGAGCAATTTTGCGAATGTAAATTTAAACAGTGCCATCAAAAGAGGATCATAGGAAGAAATATTTTGAAAACAAAAGTTGTTTTGTACAATTTATGGTACAATTCACAGTGAATAAAGAAGTTCATTAATATTTATGTGCCCAGTACAAACTCACTCTCTCCTCTCTCCTCTGTGTCTCTCTTTAAACAACCAACTGATCTCCTAGAGTAAGACAATGGATTAGAAGCTGTCTCCCCATGACTCTGTGAATGAGAAGGGTCAGGGTCACAAAGGGCAGACTTTATTTCAAAGTGAAGAGAGGAAGAACACCAGGAAGCATGAAAGATGGACAGGGATGGAGGAGAGCAGCATGGAGAAACGAGGCGGCCACCGCAGAAAGCAGAAAACCTGTGGCTGCGGCCCTGCTCCCTAGGGAGGCAGAGGAAACAGAAACCGGAGGAAGTCGCTACTGGTACACCTGCCCTACACCGATAGTAAAGGGAGCTGGGAATGCCGAGCACACTTGGAATTCTAGCACATATCGGAGGTTGAGGCAAGAAGGTAGAACACAAATTTGAGGACAGACTGGGCTACACAGTTAGAGCTCCAGGCCAGTCAGGCTACATAGCAAGACTCTGCCTCAAAGCAACAGAAAGTTCCAAGCCATCCGGAACTACACAGTACACTATAAAGAAATAGTACTTCTAAGTTAATTCAAAAGTCAGAATTACTGCATTTCTGATTTACAACTCCATTTTTTTCCTCTATGAGTTTAAAAATCAAAAAAACAATGCTAAATCTGCTACTAAATTTAAAATGAAGCCGTCACATGTGACCACAGCAACACAGGATGGTAAAAAGGAAAGGTGCAGGTGTGCACAAGCAGGGATGTCACACACAACCAAAGCAAAGCTAGTGTTATTCCTATTAAGCTGTTATACCTGAAGATGATGACCATAATACTCAAGATAACCACTGAGAAATTAACTAAAAAATAAAAGGAAATGAGAGGGGAATCAAAATAGTACGCTACAGAAAGATCAATCATACACCAAAGGCAACGGCAGAAATGGAAGAACTGAAATTAAAAAAGAATAGAAACACCATAAACAAGGACCAAGATGGGAAAAGTTCAGTTCTTTCCTATTAGTAATTATTTTAAATGTAAACGGACTATACTTAATTAAAAGGCTATGGTGTGGACGATTCTTGGAAACTATACCAAAATGAAAAAAGGCCAATGTGGGGCCTGAGGGTAGCTTGGTGGTAGAGTGCTGGCCTCACATGCATGATGCTCCAGGTTCAATTCTCAGTACTAGCAGTGGAGGGGTAGGAGGGCAGAGCCTGACAAGGGTCACATATTGTGTAATTCAATTTACATGACATTTATTACAACAGGCAAATCCTTAGAGACAGAAGGCAGATTACTGGCTGCCAAGTGCTTGAGGGAAAGGGGAAGTAGGGTATGGAGTGTTGCCTAGATAGTGATGATGACTATAAAGCCTTGTGTTATTTAATTTAAAATGGTCAAAACCTAAAAAAACAAAAAACAAAAACCAAGTTTCTTTTGAGACAAGGTCTCACTAAGTAATCCAGGCTAGTCTCAAACCCATAGCAATCCACCTAGCTCAGCCTCCAAAGTATTGTGACTATAGACATATACCACCATACCCAGGTCAAAAGTGCAAGCTTTGTTTATATTGTCACACAAACCACCTACTTGGGTCCTTTTTTTCCTCTGTGTTATTCTCAGATTTTAATTACTTTAAAAAGCCAATTAACATATGTAATCATTGTCATATCTACCAAAAGCTCAGTTATGAGAAGTACTGCTTATAGTAAATTGAGCACCTTCTATCTCCTTTCCTCTAGGCCAGTGGTCTCTGTGCAGTCCTGACAAAAGATTTTTGAGCACAAACTGCCAAAAGAGATATTTATAATTATTTTGCTACCCATGTATTATAAAATACATAAAATAGAAAATTTGAAAGGTTGAAATTAATATAAATTCTAATTTATCTTCCATATTCCAATATGCAGGGCGTCTCTCCTTGGAGAACGCTTCTCTGGGTACCTTGATTTTGCTTTTCTTGTTTTTGAGACAAGGTCTCGTTAAGTAGCCCAGGCTGGCCTTGAACTTGATCCTGTTTTCAGCCTCCCAAGTGTTGAGATCACTGGTGTGTAGCAGCACACCTGGCTCTAGTGTGACTCTTGGGTAAGCTTCGTGCTTACCAACTCCTTTATCTAAGCAATGTGATTCTAACAGCCCTTGACCATTGTGGACTCTACCATGAGGTGTGTGTGTGGAAGGCAGTTATCCTGTAATGTCTTCTTATGAAGACAGATTAGGATACTTCACTTAGGCGTTCATATCTGAAATAACTGTGATGTTTTTTGAAATCTGGCTTGCTTTTATAATATTAAATGATCACAAAAGTCCATCAACAACTATCTGCTAGAATACATACTACCAAACTTGTAGCTTATTTCTAGCAAACACATGTACCACGTGTGTATTTATCTCTCTTCTGGTTTCAACTTATTCATCACTCAGTTCTTTTTTTTTTAAATAATGTTGTGGCTTACCCCACCTTCAATTTTGGTATCCTAATTCTTCATTTACTAAAAATATCATATTGTATTATTTGTGTGTGTATATGTGTATAAGCAACTTAAATATTTCTTGAAAGACGGGAGAAAATAATAAAAAAAACAAGACAAAACCCCAGCAATGCTGTGCATAACAGGCCACACTAAGCTTGACGCTCCTCATGCTTGGGGGCGCCTCTCACCTGGCAGATTCTGAGGCATCTGGCGCAAAACCCTGTGTCCAAAGAGTGATTGGCAAGCATGTGTTGGTGGAAAGAATGACAACAAACAGTAGCGCTGTGCTACACTTTCTCATTCCTTCCAGCTGGGAAGAAACATTATAGTGAGGAAAGGGCAAACAACTTTTTTTTCACCTTATGTCGAGACTGACTAAAAAGTCCATGAAAAAGGCAGTCACGTTGCCAGCTGGACTTTGTAGCCATGTACCTGGATGTGCCTCCTTCTGGTGTGCTCAGAAGTCATTTGGGGATGGCCTGTGTTCAGTGTTTTCTTGTTGTGCTTACACCGCTTCTCCAGATATCTCCTCTGTTGGTTGGTGATGCTGCTGTACAATTTAATTCGCCTCGGTGACAAATACAGTCTTTCACGGCCAAAAGCTTGTACCAACCGAGCCGTGTCAATAGTGGAAATGGAGCTACTCCTTTCGTGCAAAGTCACCTCTCTGTCAGTCTGGGTCAATACATCCGAGTCCAAAGGAGAGGTAGTACTGGAAAGACAGTTGGTGGGACTATCTGTGAGCAGCTCACTTTCCTCTGAGGGTCTCGAATCTAAGGAGCTGTTACTGATAAAATTAAAATCTGGCTGTTTTCTCAGGATGTATTTATTGAGTTTAATTTGCTCAGTCTTAATCTGACTGGAACTGTTATCCTGCTGAGGAGAAAGCTCTCTGCTTGGTCCACGGTAACCCGCATTTTGGGGGCCCTTCTCAAGGCTCTTACACCACTTCTGCTTCTGTGTCCTGCTTTTCTGCTGCTGCTGCCTCCCACCGCCCTGTCCCCTCGCCCCGTGTCCCCTTCTGCTATCATCCTGTGTACTTTCTGAGAACTGGAGTGAATGTGTGATGGGATTCTGAAGCAGTTTGGCCAAACGATGAAGTCGTTCCACCAAAGATAGCTCCTTCTTATCACAGATATCAGGTGGCTTCTGCTGCTTCTGTCGCTCTTGGTACTTGTTCCAGAGCTCATTCAAACTCACAGTACACTGAGCTGTTAGTTCTGGGGTGACCTTAAGTTCCTTTTTTGGGTCATTCATCTGTGTTTTGCTTTTAGGATGATCTTTGGACTGGCTCTTGGTAGTATGCATTTTCTCGATGTCACCTAAATTCAAATTGATGCTGAGGCTCTTTATTCTGCTGTAGTCCATTTTGTCCACACTTGGGTGAGGGGGAGGAAGGCAGCTGTGCTCTCTGTGTGTATCTGAATGATGGTGAAAGAAATCCTTCCTAGAATGCTGCATGGAAACACTCCTTCCCAAAGACTCATGGCAGATATCTTGCTCATGGGGCAGGTGCACTGGATGATCGAAGCAAAACTTTGCTGATCTGAAGGCAGAGTGGGTGGTATTTTCAAATGATGAATGACATTCAGACTCTGAAGGGGAAAAAAAATATTTTGAAAGAATTTAGAAAACTATTCCGACTCTGAAAAGAGGGAAAAAAGATTTTGAAAGAATTTAGAAAACTATTTGTATTTACTTTAGATACAGAACAAAGATTAAAGGGAAGAGTGATTTATATCAAGTTTTAGAAAATCCCCTGCTGTATTTAGCAGCCAGACTGGCATGGGTCAAAACATCTGAATTCTGGATTGAACTCCACTATCAGATGACAGAGATCAGTTAGTAGTGTGCTTGCATAGCATGCAAGATTCCCTGAGTTCAGTTCTCAGCATTGCATAAATTGGGTGTGGTGGTACAGGTCTGTAATTGTAGCATTAAGGAGGTGGGGACAAGAGGATCAGAAATTCCAAGGCATCCTCTGCTACATATCCAGTTCAAGGCCAGTATGGATTACATGAGATGCTGTCTCAAATGAAACAAAACACAAATATGAACTGAACTCTGCCATCATGTGACAGAACTGTGTAACTTCCAGTACGTCACTTTAGTTCTCCACATCATAAATAAGCTGCTTTGTGGATTTACCACCTGCTCTATGCAGTCTGCTTTCATGTGTATCCTTAAAAAATTAATCCTTTCTTTTTAATTAAACTTTTTTAAAATTATTTTTATTTCATGTGTATGCGTGTATTGCCTGCACGCAGGTAAGTGCACCCATGTCATGCAATGCCTGTGGAGGTCAGAAGAGGCTGTCAGATTCCCTGGGACTGGAGTTATAGACAGTCGTAAGCTGCCATGTGAATGCTGGGATTTGAACTCAGGCCTTCTGCAAGAAGAACCAGTGTTCTTAACCGCTAAGCCATCTCTCCAGGCCCAAAAATTAATCCTTTTTTTTTTTTTTTGGTCTTTTTGAGACAGGGTCTTCCTATAGCCCCAGCTGGCCTGGAACTCACTATGTAGACCAGGCTGGCCTTGAACTCACAGAGATCCGCCTGCCTCTGCCTCCCGAGTGCTGGGATTAAAGGTGTGCGCCACCATGCCCGGCTCAAAATTAATCCTTTTTTAAAAATAGTAATCCTACTAAGACTGAGATGAGCCCTGAAAACTCGATTTTCAGCAAAAAATCCTTAGAATGCCTCATCACTAAGTGGGTAGAGTGTAAAAAAGTTTTTGACATGTTTTAAAACACTTCACAAGCCTTTTCTGTGAACTTCCTTCATTTTCCCCAGTTCTTTTTATCGTAGTAAATCTGTGTATTGTACGCTATGGCACACAATCTGTACCTTCCAGCATTACTTTATGACAATCATTATTCTCTTTGAAAATAGGCATTTTTTTAATGCAATCATATATTACAATTTACTGTTCTGAATGCCTGTGTTTCTCTGAGCTGCACATTAAAACTTCATGCCCAGTGCAAGACCATTAAGAGGCAGGACTTTTGGGGGTGATCAGGTCATAAAAGCTCCACACACAGGAATAGGATTAATGTCCTATGAAAGGGTTTGGAGGGGCCTGCAAGCCTTTTTCAGCAGTTACGTGAGGACTAGTCTAAGCCCCTGCCATCCATAGAAGGATAGCACATCAAGGTGTCATCTTGGAAGCAGAGACTGAGTCATCTTGAAGGGGGACTGAGACTGAGTCATCTTGAAGGGGGACTGTGAGAAATAAGCTGTTACTGTTTCTCCAAGAGCCCAACTTCTGTTCCTTTCAGGGCCTTGGCTCCCTTCTATTCTCTCTTTCATCTCTCTCCTATCTTCAGGCTGTTCCTCTTTACTAGGCCATCCAAAAGCATGACAGTGTCATTAAAAAAAATCCCTCATATCTTCCTCCAGGTACTGGCTCATTCCTCTGTTCTTCACAGTCAAGCTGCTAAAGTAGAAAAATGTCTATTTTTGTGTTTTCAACCTCTTTCCCAGCCCAATTGTCTTTTCAAATTACTCCTCTGTGTATGGCCACAACACTGAACTAAAACTACTCTACCAAATTTAATGGTCTCTACATACCACCAACTCCAGAACATTCTTGCACTCTATCTTCCCTTTCACTGTGACCTCTCTTCCTAGTTTTTAGAACCATTTCAGTGCCAATACTTAAATTTATCTTTCAGCCTATTATTTCTCTCTTTACCACAGACTCATATACTTACCTGCATATGTGATATATCAAATGCACAGCCACCTTAAAATTTAAATGTCTTACCTGAATTCTATTCTAATCTTATTAGGAAATCCACTATAAAAATTAGAATAAAAGAGTGTAGCAATATTTCAGGATTAAAAATGTGTTTAAAAATTTTAATTTATATACTTGCAGTAAATTAAAAACAATTCTAACAAAAATATAAACACATAAATAAGGATATATAGTATGTATAGTATGTATAGATGTGGTTCTAATTACTAGTCTAGCTATCTTCACAATACCAAAAGAAGAAATGTAGTTTACACATGATTTATGTAATTGTACATACACAAGGACAAATAAGTGTAACACTGAAAGAGAACAATATATTACTTACAAAAACATGGTAATTTATAAATGAATCTAGGTGAAATATCTTTATCTAATTAAAAATATAATTCTAATCATAACAGCAGAAAAATAAATATTTAGAATTTACAAAAAAAATCATAAAACTCATACTCTGAAAACTCCAAAGTATTGCTATGAAATTAAATATCTAAATAAAGGAAAAACACCTCAGGCCAATAAGTAAAAGAAAATGTTAAGGTAGAGATACTACTCAGATTGCTCTACAGATTCAACATAATCCCTGTCAGAATCCCAGCTTGCTTCTCTGTAGAAATTGCCAAGATAATTCTAAAATTCATATGCAATTTTAAGGGACCAAGAACAGACAACGTGATTCTGAAAAATAAAGTTGAAGGCCTCACATATTCTTACCATAAATTTACCATAAATCGATAGTAATCAAGGCAGATTGGTACTGTCCTGAAATGGTTAACTGATTTTTGGTAAAGGTTCCAGGACCATTTGGTGAGGAACTAGTCATTTTAATAAGTAGTGCTATGATAACTGGATATCCATATGGAAAGAAATATGGTTAGACCCTCACCTCATTCTATCAAAACTGAAAACTTTTGTGTTCCAAAGGATGGAGAGATGGGGACTGGAGAGATGGCTCAGTGGTTAAGAGCACTGGCTGCTTTTGCAAGGGATGCAGGTCTGGTTCCCAGCATCCACATGGTGGCTAACAATCACCTGTAACTCCAGTTTCAGGGGATCCAACACCCTCTTCTGACCTCTGCAGGCATTGTACAACACAAGTACACTTACATACTCACAGGCAATACATTCATACACAGAAAATAAAAGTAAATAAATAAAAAATGAAAAGTTTATGTTGACCTTATCTCTGCTTCTCATGTTCTTCTGGATAACTTTAGGTTTTCAATATTTTAATATTGAGACATGATATTGCACTTCTAATACCATCAGCCTTCCGTATAGTCATCCCTCAAGTGTCTGGGGGGAACGTCTCACAGATGCCAAAATCTACGGATGCCAAGTGCTTTACATAAAACAGGAAGGAAGATACATGGAACTATTCATATGGGTTTCTGTACAGACATGCCCACAGGACAATCCAATAGAGGAGACTCCCCAGTTGGGGTTCCCTCTTCCCAGGTGTGTCAAGTTGACAGGTGAGGCTGAGCACAATTTGTATACACGGGTTCTGTACTTTATATCATCACTAGATTACTTATAAAACCAAAACAAGGGAAGTGCTAAGTCAGTAACTGTTATACTGAAATATTTATAGAGAATAATGGCAAGGAAAAAAGCCCATACATGGTCAATGCAGATACAAATTTCTTTCTCAAATATTTTAAATCCAGAGTTGGTTAAATCCAGTAGTATAGAATTTATGGGTAGGGAGGGCCAAATGTATTTATTTGTAACACTATCTGTATATATTTTTCTACAAGAATTATTCTTCAAATCAACGTATGTCCACACAAAGCTGTACTGAAATGGTAAGTTAAAAAACAAAACAAAAAAGTACCTATTTTCATCAAAATGAACCAGAAACACAGAGACTCTGGCACTCTCACACACATACTGATACATATTTCTTTACCTGAACTATCTGTCTCTAAGGATTTTTCCTTCTCTGGACAGACTTCCTGATGAATGGTCCTCTTAACACAGGTCTCCTCTGTCTGCTTAATAAACTTAGTGTCTGCCAGTCTTTCAGTTTTTCTGTCCTGTACAGCAGCATCACAGGAATCTTTAAAAGAATAAAATGAACAAATAACACAGACAGAAAGTTGACAAAAATGCCTTGAAGCATCTACTATGTGAAATGCATTGTTCCTGGAACTGAAAAAATGTAATTATCAATCAAAATGTTTGGAAAAAACACCTAAGCAGGTGACAAAGAAGATGCACACGTAGAAGTCAAATAGAGCTAAAGAATGAAGCTGTGAGAGACAGACAGAGCGGAAGTGCTCAAAGGAGAAACACTGATTCCAGCCAGAAGCATCACAGGGGGCTGCAGAAAACGCTCAACAGCTTAAGAGCACCGGTTGCTCTTACAGATGACCTGAGTTCAATTCCTAGCATCCAAATAGTAACTTCCATAACTACGGTTCCACGAGTTATGATGTCCTTTTTTGGCCTCTGTGGACACTGCATGCGTGGGTACACTTAGTATATGAAGGCAAAACAATCATATACATAATATAAAAGAACTCTGGCTGCTGACTTGCTGGGTCTTTAACAATGGGACACACTTTGTGGTGGGAAGAAGAAATCACTTTAAGCAAGGGTGACTGCAAAACAAGAGTGCAGTCAGGAAAGCCACTGAGCATCTCCAATCATGTGTGTATGGTTCACCTGACCACAGAGTCTACAAGGAAAAGAAGTGAGAACTGGAGCTGGCAAGGTCAGGGAGCTAGCAGCTAGTTCTAGCATTTGGAATGACAGCTAAAGAGCGTAGATTTTAATCCTAAACACAATGAAATGTACTAAATCTTATTAGGAGACTAACATAATTAAAACCACTTCAGTAATATTTATTTAGCAACAGAAAAAAAAGCATAAAATTTTGGAGTGGTTCCTAAGATACAATCTGAAGTCTTTCTTTTCCCTCTGAAATAGTTGAGCATATGCTACCAGAATAGAGGCTATCAGCATCCTTGTCAATTCGATTGGTGTGACCACATCACTAAGTCTGGCTGGTGGTATGAAAGGTAGTGTAACTTCTAGAGGGAAGAATAGGCTTTTTTCTTTCCCTTTCCTCATGCAAATGTTGGGATGCTGGTTGATGGCTACAGCTTAAGAATGAAGGTCAGAAATGTCAACGGAAGTCTTTTGTTCCCTGATACTCTGGGTGTCTACCTCTAGATTTCTATAAAAAAGAAATACTGGGGCTGGAGAGATGGCTCAGTGGTTAAGAACACTGGCTGTTCTTGCAGAAAACCCAGGTTCGAATCCCAGCACCCACAGGGCAGCTAACAACTGACCTTAACTCCAGTCCCAGGGGATCCAACACCCTCTTCTGTCCTCCACAGGCATTGCATGACATGGGTGCACTTACCTACATGCAGACAATACACACATACATAAAATAAAAAAAAAGAAAAAGAAATGCTCTCCTGTCTTCTTTAAACCCATGTTACATTTTAATCTGTCAGAGTCAAAGCTAATCCTAAATTAAATATACTACTATAGGCATTTTTAATCAGCATAATTCTGTTGAAGTAAAATAACTGGATTAGTTTCAAAGTAATTAAGTTGCATTTGTAAATAACAAAGATTTTGGTACAATCATGGTTTGCTACTCCACAGCATTAAAAGAAATGATAATAATATAATCTATGTCAGAAACTGCACTTTAATAGATTTTTAACATGGATAGGTTAGCTCAATACATTGAACAACAGGCACAACCGCTATTTATTTTTAAAATCTTCTTTATAAATTCAGTGTCCCAGAAATGCAGCCTTGAGCTACTTTGCTGGACTTGAGTTTTGACATTGGGGAACCTCCCCCTCAAAATTGTCAAATTTTAAAAAACTATAAAATTTCAATAAAACAGATCTTACAGGTATAACCTAAAAGTGGAAAGAACCTTGTAATAATGACCTGAAATGTGGATGCAAGGAGGGAAGAAGGAGGAGGGACATGGGGGACGGGGGAGGGGGTGTTGACTGCATTCAAAATGAATCATATGGCAACATTTAAATTAAACTATGTAAATCGAAATACCAAAATGGGGAGGGGGGAATGTAATAGCTCTATCAGATAGAAAGATTTTATTAAATGATAAGTAAAAGACAAAATAGGGACATTAGCAAAGAAAAACATTCTAGGTAATCCTAGAGGACTAAAATATAATTGTCAAGGATTAAGGTAAAAAAATTTCAACTTTCTAAGTCTTATACACATTTCATCTGTAGAGTATTTCGTGATATTGAAATATCAGGAAAAGGAAAAAGACATTAAGTCAATTTCTGACAATGAGTTACAGATCATGTGGGTACTGGGAACCACACCCACGTCCCTCTGAAGTGCTCTTAACCACTGCCATCTCTTTAGCCCCTTGAAGACTTGTTTTTTTTTTAATGTCAACTTTCCACCGGAGTGGTAGCAGACACCTTTAATCCCAGCAGAGGATGTCCATGAGTTCAAAGCCAGCTTGGTCGACAGCAAATTCCAGACTGTAGGGAAGCCCTGTCTCAAACAAACAACTTTGTCCCTGCCAAAGTATAACAAAACTGTAGCTTTAAACACCTTACCTACTTCATCCATGAGCAAGATGGTGGGTTAGAGAGAGCAGGAAGAGACTAGAGAACACATTGGTGTTTGTATTCTTTTTATTTGTTTTTAAATATTATTTTTATTTTATGTGTATGCGTGTATTGTCTGCATGTATATAAGGGCACCTGTGTCACGCAATGCCTGCAGAGGACAGAAGAGACTGTTGGATCCCCTGGAACTGGAGTTATGGACAGTTGTTAGCTGCCATGTGGGTGCTGGGATTCAAACTCAGGTCTTCTGCAAGAACAGTCAGTGTTCTTATCCACTGAGCCATCTCTCCAGCCCCTCTTTATTTCTATTTTATGTGTATAAGAGTTACCCGCATATATGTAAGTGTACCCATGTTGGGTAGTACTCAAGGAGGACATTAGAAGGTGTGAGTGGATCCCCTGGAACTAGAGTTACAGGTGGCTGTTACCTGCCACGTGGTTGTTGGGATTCGAACCCAGGTCCTCTGCAAGAGCAGCCAGTGTGCTTAACCATTCAGCCATTTCTCCAGCCCCTGGTGCTTATATACCTAACAGAAAAGTCTTTTCAGAGACCAGGGAAATGGTGCCCAGACAATCTGAACAAACCTGTAGTGTCCTGCAAAGATTCTTTTTCTTCAGGTCTTGCAGTCTTCGTCAAGAAAACTCCACTGATGATCTCTTTCTGAACATCCCCAGTGATGGGTGCTTGAACTGGGGCCTCTGGATAAGGACATCATTGATGCCAGAGAGGAAGAGCAAATAATTAGCAAAAGGTATGCGCCTGCCTGAATCCCTTAACATGCAAAGCCCTCCCAAGTCCTTTACAAACAAGGAAAAAAAGCACCCTTTAGATTCTATTTTGGAACACTGTAACTGGAATTTAAAAGTTTGCCATAGTTTTCTAAACACATCATCAGTTTAAACAAAGTAACATTTTAAAATCTGTTCTTTGATAGTTTGATGCAACAGCAAAAAAACAGATCAAATTGTGTTTTTTAAAGTAAAAGTGTATATTTAAGAAACATTTTTGAGCTCTTTGGTGTTTCCAAAGTTTTTATTATTTGTTGGGTTAATTTTTGTATCTCATATAGTCCAAGAAAAAAAAAATCATTTGGATATTACACATAACATTCTCATATTTTAAAAATCTCATGCATCTATAATTGTTAAATTTGTCTAACACATTATGTTCTCTTCTTGCTCATACTTCATTTCTTTTTAAAAAATATTTTATTTTTTTTTAATGTATATGAGTATATTTCCTGCTTGTATGTAAGTATATACTTGTTGTGCAATGCCTGCAGAGGTCAGAAGAGGGCATCGGATCCCTTGGAACTGGAGTTACAGCTGTTAGCCGCCACATGGGTGATGGAAATCGAACCAGGTCCTCTGGAAGAGCAGCCAGTGCTCTTAACCACTGAGCCATGTCTGCAGCCCGGTCATACTTCATTTCTTATCTCTATGTATGTGTATCTTTCCACAAAGAAATCAGAAATGTAACAGGCGATGAAACATACAACACGGACTCGAGTTTGGCTTTACTTACCAAGGAATTTCCTTCGATTTCAATATATTATTTTTTATTTCTGTCACTTCAATTCTAATTGCTTGACCTAACTCTTTAAAATTTTTAATATTTCAGACATACCAGGAGCATAACAAGGGGTTTACAACGAGGCTTAAGAAATAATCAGACAGCCTGGCATTGGGTGCACACTTTTAATCCAAGCACTCAGGAGGCAGAGATAGGGAGATCTCTGTGAATTAGAGGTCAGCCTGGTCTACATAATGAGTGTTCAAGACTCGGACTAGGATATATAAATTCTGAACTATTCCACAGTCATAAAGGTATGCAAATTCTGAAAGCTTAGTTTTCCTTTATACATCGCAGAAGACTATGATACACTTTGTTCACTGTGTAGGGATTTATCCGATTTTTTTCTTACATAGGCTATTGATGATTCAAGCACTACTGAACTCAAATTTTCTTCATGAACTGCTATATCATCTATTTATTAAGTTTCATATATACTTGCTTCTGGGTCAACATTCTGGTACATTTTTCTGCTTAATCCTTTATAAATAATTTAAACAAACTACATATAGTTTTGATGACTGGTGCACAAGCTTTCTTATGAACCCAGAATCAATTTAGTGGCAATTGACATCTTTATTATTACCATAATGTAATTCTCTTAATTATGTAGGGCTCTCTTAATACATTTCAATGTAGTTTTGAAATTTCATTATAGTAATCTTGCAAACATTTTAGGCTCATTTCTAATAACTTTATCTTTTGTGTATCTTTTAAAAGATGCTAGTGTTCTAGAAAAATGTGCATCAAAATGCACTAGTTATCGTTAATTTAAAAGTATGTTTATGGGACTGGAAAGATGGTTAAGTAGTTAAGAGCACTGTCATTTGGAGAAAACCTAGGTTCAATTCCCAGTACCCATATGGAGCTGACAACTGTAACTCCAGTTCCAGGGGATGTGACACCCTCTTCTGATCTCCAAAGTCACTACACACATGGGTGCACTTACATAGAAAAAATGCACTGGGGGATGGTTCTGAATTTTGTATATAAAGGCAATAATAAAGTACATGAGCTTTCCTTTCTTCACTCACACTATGTTTGCAAGGTTTGTTAAATATTGTTACATATATGTATCCTTCTCCTGGCTAGTAGGCATTCACTCACATTAGTATTACATTAAATACTGGGTATCTGGGTAATTTCTAGTTTGGACCTATTATAAATAGTTTGAAGAATATTTCTAGGGGGCTAAAGGTATATAGTGCAGTGGTATAGTGCATGTTTACTGTGTGAGGCCCTGGTTTCAAAATCCGGCAACAAATATGCACGTGCATATGCATGTCTGTGTGCACACACATACAGGCGCACACACAGGAATGTTTTGTCAAATGCTTTCCACCATCACTGGCAGTGAATGAGGTCTTACTCTACACTCTTGTCAACACTTTGCCTTTTCATTTCAGCAATTCTAATCAGTATATAGCTCTACTGCTGCTTTAATTTGCATTCCTATGATTATCAACAAAGTGAAGTGTTTTGTTCATAAATACTGGTTATTAGATATTCTCTTTTATAGAATACCTATCCAATTCTTTTGCTTAAATTTCTATTGGTTAAATACCTTCCTCACACTTTTAACATTCAGGATGTCTTTTGTGGGATATGTGTATTACAGTGGTCATTTCTACTCTGTGATTTGCCTTGATTTGCTGCTAACATTTTACCGAATTTTTTACTTTAAAAGTTCCTTATTTGCCAGGCATGGTGGCACATGCACTTTAATCTCAGTACTCTGGCGGCAGAGGCAAGTGGATCTCTGTGAGGTTGAGGAGAGTCTATCTACATAGTTACAGGTCAGCTGAGGCTATAGGAGACCTGTCTCAAAGAAGAAACAGGAAAGAAGGAAGGAAGGAAGGAAGGAAGGAAGGAAGGAAGGAAGGAAGGAAGGAAGGGAGGAGGGGGGAGAAAAGAGGAAGGAGGAGGAGGAGAGGACGAGGAGGAGGAAGAAGTTCCTTATTTATCAAGAGTTGCTATTATAGCTGTTTTTTTGTTGTTTTGGTTTGTTGGTTTTTTTTTTTTTTTTGCGGGAGAGGGCTTCTCCAGTTTAATGAGTATTTTTATCTCAGGAGATTAAGAGGGCATCCTCCATTTTCTTAAAGAATAACAACCTATCTATCTATCTGTCTGTCTGTCTACTTTCCTATTATCTATGCCTCTTGTTTTGTTTTTTGAAACAGTCTGTTTTCACCACTCAAATACTACAAACACAAGTCACCACCACCATACTCTGGTTCCCCCTGAACTTACAGATTTCAATTTCAGCACCATTTAGAAGTGATTTTTGTATATGTAATGTAATGGAATGAGGGCCTAGAGAGATAGCTCAGTGGTTAAGAACACTGTCTGTTCCTGCAGAAGATCAGGTTTGAATCCCAGCACCCCCATGGCAGTTAATAACTGTCTGTAACTCCAGTTCCAGGGAATCTGATGGCCTCTTCTGTTCTCCACAGGCACTGCACAAACAGGTGTACTTACATACATGTAGGCAATACATGCATACACATAAAATAATAATAATAATAATAATAATAATAATAATAATAATAATAATAGTCATGGAATGAAACTGTTAATTTTTTCCCTGTATGAATATCGAACTTCTCCAGCACTAGTTTACACAAACAAAACCAAACAAACCAGGAAGCTCTTTTGCTCTTGTGTGGAATCAATGTTTGACATGATTCAGGTATCCATACAGTACAAACTTCTTCCAGAATACTTTGTTGCTGTCCTATGGTCAGCTTGTTATCCTTGTTACAACATCACTCGGTCTTATTTACTAAAGTTGTAAATTTTGATATTTAATGATATTTTAGGTCTTCTGGATTTGTTCTTTTTTCAAGGTGACTTTAGCAAACCCAGTGGGGGTTGGAGAAACAACTGTAAGTGGGGTGCAGATAGGGAAGGGGGCCTAAATATGATAAAACTGTGTTGTATGAAATTCACCAAAATTCAATTAAAATACAAAGAAAAAAGATTGCTTTGGCTATTCTTAATATACTGTATTTCTTTACCAATTTAGAAAAAGCTTGCTAACATCTTGGGGGGGGGAAACTTCATGAGATTTTGATTGGATTAGACTTTACTCATTTTGAACATATTTGTGTTTAAGTATCTAACTTCACCCTTACACATTACTGTGGTTATCTTCTGGAGACTTGCCATTCAAATGTTGCTATGGTTCAGCTCTAAATATATTGTACTTTTAGAAAATGGTGGGGTCTCTATTTAGAGATAAAGTTGAAAACTCAGCAGTGTCAGACAGATCAGGTATGTGAATGCAGTAGGCCAGGTCAGAGCGGTATGGGGGCTGAAGCAAACAGAAGAATGGATGTCCTACGTACAGGGGACAGCCAGGGCTCAGCTGCAGCTGGCTTGTGCCATGGAAGAAGGTAAGCTCACTAATGTGTACTTGGGGGCAAGCAGATATCTGATGTTTTTCCCCTAAGATTTTATTTTCACATGTTGGCAACAAAATAAAATTTCAAATATCATATAGGCTGACATCTCCCTGTTGAATCTAGCCCGAGATGCTACTCTGCAATATTTGACAGAGATAAATTTCATGAGGCAATTTAATCAAATTTTTCTATGATATTTAGTCTCCAAAATATACTTGGTTTGACATTTCAATAGTTGCAATGTATTTTATTTCTCATGGTGAAAATAAAGTTTACCGTTTTCTAAAACCTATGCATTCAAAAATTTTAACATTTTACCTTTTTGTTTAATTAATATACTAGTAAGGAAAAAAGTTTATATAACAAATCAGAAAATGGATAAAATCTGGACAATATTCTTACTTTGAATGAAAAGGTTCAGGAAACAAGATGCAAAATACGTAAGGCCACTGATTACCTGCATTATCCTTCTGAAACCGTTTTTTCCCCTTAGTTACTGCCCTCTTACTATAGATCCCTTCTTTATGTTTAATGTTCACAGTAGCTGAGAGGTCATCATCTCTTGTGCCTAGCACCTGAGGTGGAAAATCTGGGGCAATAGCATCATTGGACCCTACAGAAAAATGGGAAAATAATACAATTAACACTAAAATAGTCTTGATGTCAAGAAAAGACTTTATTCTTTTTCCCTCTAAGGCCACTTCTATGAAAAACGAACTGACAGAATTTTTGTAGGCTAATTAGAAGGAGATGTCAGTCAAAAATAAGCTCTAAGACAGGCAAAATAAATGATAATGTAACCAGTCAAAGAAACAAATGACATAAAATATACCACACAAAGGGGAGTAGTGACCAGTTTGGAAGGACTCCTTCTAGCTCAAGAAGGGTTATGAAGAAAGGAGAAAACAGATAGGGAGGCAGCTTTTTGATATGGAGAGGAAGGCAAAAAGATATGCACAACAGAAGTTACTACATAAACACACAGGAATGTACAGGAATAGCAGACACTTATGGTCAGGCTGGACTGCAGGATATACTAACAAGAGTAATAGGAGATAGTTAAATATAGTTGCCTGGGATAAGATTCAGCAGCCTGTGGAATCCCAAAACAAAGACCATAAATTTTATTGTACATGAAATGCAACATTAATAATTTTTTAATCATGGGAAACTTATCAGCTCTGACTTAGGAAGAGTTATCTGATAACACAAAACACTGAAGAGAGTTGGTGATATAGCTCAGTGGTAGAGCATTTGCTTAAACTGTATGAGGCCCTGGGTCTAATGATATGTGATAAAGAAACAAAAGATTTGAAAGTATTTAATTTTCTTTTAAAACGCATCTCAATATTCCTATATAAACTAACAAGAGAAATGGGATTTATTATCATGCCATATCTAACAGGCAAAAACCATACCCAGACACATAAAAGTTTATAGTAACAGAAATCTTTCCTAGTCCAAGATTCCATATATTGTATATTTCTAGGGCTCCTAATTAATATGTAATTAATTAACATGTGTATAAGTGCTGAGAAAGTACCAGTCTCATTAGTCCAGTACAATGTAAATAAGCCATGTAGGGTATGTAAATAAGCCATGTAGGGTTTTTCAGAACAGACTGCAAGGACCATACCAAGCCTTCTGGGCCAAATCTACAGATGACACTGGGCTCTTCTCACCTCTCTGATAGTACCTTCGGCCTCTGCCTCTTCCCTCTCTGGCAAATCCTATTACTCTTTCTGCTACCAAGTCTTTCAGTGTTAAGAGTTCCTCCAGAACTAAACCTTCTAACTCTTCCTAAGTAAACTGTGACCTCCACAGGCATTGCACACATGGATGTACTTACATACATGCAGGCAAAACACTCATAAATAAATAGTTTTAAAGTATGTGTCTATCCTTTCTCCAATCAAGAAAGAAAATTCGGCTGGAAGCTACATGCTCCTCTCATTCTTCCCATTTCTCCCACTGATTTTACATACAAATAATTCACTGGGGGATGTCTCTGAACTTTATACATAAATGCAGTAATATGGTATATAAGTTTTCCTTTCTTCACTCCTATGATGTTTGCAAGGTAAAAACCACATGTCACCAGCTGAGATCTTTCTTTTATGCATCAGGTTCTAATATTAAAAGATACATCTAACCTTATAGCACTTAAATGAAATTAGACGATGTTTCTTCTTTAAGCATTTTAAGTTACTATATATTGCGATTCAACACAACTCTATATGGTGGTCATTCCCATCAATCCTCCGACATACCAGAACACACATCAGAAGCCATCAGTATATATATTCAACCCATCACCCTTCATTCTCCAAGGGAGGTGACCATGTCAGTCTAACAGTAACAGTGGATGAGCAAGACAATGAATGCCAGTGGAGCTGAGGCAGGTGGAAAAGGGTACAGACATGCATGTACACACCAGCAAACTGTAAGTGTGCTTATTTTCCAGCATCTGTGCAGAACTGTATTATGTGTGAGTATAGATGTCCGGAGAAGAAAGAGTAAATGTAATTGCTCCAGAATAATAACTAGAGATCTTGACCCCCAGGGATCCTGATTCCTCCAAGGGGCAGGGCCTGCTGAGGAGAATTGACTGCGGAGGGAGGGGTTTCTGGACGCCATCTTGAAACAGAAGTGGCATGCGGCGGGGGCGTGAAAAGATGGCCCTGGTGTCTCACCCACGTGGACACGAGAGGGGGCACTTACCGACCTGCGGCAAGACTGCAGGCCCACAATGAGCGGGTGAAAGCTAACAGAGACTCTGGGCAGGTGTGGAAGTGATCTGGAACAGCGGGTCCAGCCATGCAGAGCCGGATGCTGGGTGCTCATTTCTTTGTAAGTTGCGCCCCCCAAATATAAACTATGAGAAATTCAGATAGAGATGTTATGTGGTTTGTTAAATAGAGCCAGAGACAAGAGACCCTGAACAGAGTGAGGGTGGGTCAATCAGAGAGCAGGAAGGAGAAAATTTAGTGGGACAAAACTGGCGTAGTTGGCAGGATGGTGCTAGACACGACAAACCGCGGAAGTTTGGAAAAAGCTAGAAAGCTGATGGTGGAGCTGATGTGGATTTTACAATGGATTATAAAATATTTAACTAAAAAGAGGCGAGCCATGCAGAAGCGTGGGGCACAGATGTGTTGTAAATGTGGGGAAATAGCCCAATTACGGATACATGAAGGTTTGTTAAAGGTTATAGAAAGGCTAGAAAAACTTTTACTGGCTTTGGACACAAACAGAGCACCTAGAGGGGGCGTGGCCACTTTGTATAATAAAAGATGTGCCCCAGGCAGGGGAAGCTGAAAAGGCTATGGAAGTCCTGGCAGATCCAGTTGTAGAGCTTGAGAGAGGAAAAATAGGGACACTTTAACTTGTGTAAGGTCCAAGGACTCAGAGGAAAAGACAGATAATAGGAATAAAAAAGGTGACCTAAAAATAAAAGCAGCTAAAGCTGCCCCTCAATTCAACCATTGATACAAAAGGAAAAAAAAGCTAACAGTACTGTAGCTAGGAAATACTCCACAAGTTAAAACTAGGAAAAACTAACAAGCAAGCAATCAAAGAGCCTCTAACTGCGTGGCTTGTGAGTGTGTGGGACTTGGGAGGAAATGGCATCAGTCTAAGTCCTTCAGAAGCTTCACAGCTGAGTTATACAACCACCCATCTGTCCTTGCGATAGAGGTTATTCAACCTAAGTCAATGCAGAGGGAGCAGTCCTTAATGGGGTGGCTGGTTGAAGGCATTAAAGATACATGGCCACCACCAAGGGAGACTAACATGATTAGCAGGGGATGGATGACTATAAAGGAGGGGCAGGCATTACTGAGAGAACTAGGTACGAAAAAAGCAATATATGATGTCCAGTTCACTGGGCCAGATAAGACTGTGTTCACCAGAGATATGAAGGAAAGCTTAATTCAACTGGGACCTCAAGAATGGTATGGAGCTTTAATAGTTTTGCTAAGCCCTTTAATGGGACCGTATCTTTGTAAAGTGAGAGAGGCTTTAGCAAATGTAAATGATTCTGACCAACATGTAAAAACGTGTCTTCAGAATAACAGAACAACCTATAAGAGATATAAAAAAGACGAGATAGAAGAAATAGTCCATTTGGGTTACTTGAAAGACAAATGTGGCAAGACTTTTGTTGAGCCCAAATTCCCAGAGGAAAAAATTGATAGAAAACCAAATTCGGTACTAAGGAGCTTCTAGAAGGCTTTAAAACAAACAAACAAACAAACAAACAAAAAACAGTTTACAAAAGGCATTCAAAGGATAACAACTGTCCCAGGGGTGGTTAAGAATCCCCAAGTGCCACGCCATCTCCAATGGAGTCCACGTGAGGTTCTCCATGGACTGAGGCTGAAACTTCAAGGAAGACTGCCTCTTGGAACGGGCTGTGCAAAGAAAGCTTGCTGTGCACTTGGCTGTTCTACTCTTGCTCTTATCTTTATTGTAGGCATTGTGTTCCTGGCTCACAAAAGTAGCTCATTGTCCTTATTCAGGTCAGCGAGTGTGCCTATGAGAAAGTTAGATACAGATGACTTCTCTGGAACACTCTCACCTGATATCACACTTCCTCCAGATGCACCTCTTCTATTTCAGGCATTAGTTAAATTAGGAAAGAATAGGAATCCCTGAAAAGTCCTAGATAAATTACAACAGGAAGAATTATCTGTGGAATCCTCTCTTGCTAAGATTCCTTCAGCTGCTAAGATTATAGGAAAAGGATCTAAGATAGAAACCAAGAGAAAACTGCCACCCACTGTCAGAACTAAATACGAATATGCTTATGTATTAGGTAATGGGAGACTTTGGGCTCCACCAAAAGGGAAAGGAAGTTGTAAAACCACAAATGATTAAAAGAAAGGTTGCCAAACCTCAAAGGACAGAAACATGATGTCTGGCACTAGGTAATTAATAGATAAAAATCTTTTCCTCGCATCCCTTCCTTTGATGTTGGGAACCTCTGTTATGCAAAGTAGAAGTCCCTTCACATCCGGACAGCTCATGCAGCTCGGGATTATGTGCTGGGGCTCCTTTCATAGCAGGGTGCCTTCCTGGCATCTTTCCTGACTCTCCTTTTGAAGTGCCCGCCACGAATGCTCTAAACACAAACATGGCCTCTGGCTTTAGGAATACCATGCCTTCCTGTGATTTTTCAGGCAGACAGCAGTCTGGCAGAAACCCACTTCCATATGTAAATACAATGTCTCACAAAGTACCTAACAGCCAAAGCTTTTACCACTACCCCCATGGTATAAATATCCTAGTCTTCTCTCAATACTTGGAGCTAGAAGCAGACTTGGAGCTAGAAGCAGACTTGGGGCTAGAGCGGGGACTGAGTCGCTGAGACTTGGAATAAAGAGCTGTAGACTGAGTTCTGTGTCTCCTGCCTGTAATTTAGCCTCCCCGGGGGGCAGCACTCCCTCGTTACCGACTTGCGGACATTCTAGCTTTCGCTGTCCTCGTACTCTTCCCGCGTGGTTCAGTGGCCAGTGGACCTCGCATCCTGAGGAAAGTACACGGGTGGAAAAGGGACAGGATTTGGCTGGACAACGCTCCAGTAGCAGAGAAACTTTCAGCACCAGAGACGAG